TTTCACAATATTTCAATCCAATTCCTTTTCGTTATTTCAAGCAGTACAATTTTGTTTTCTTTGTCCTGTCATTGAAGGTGTGGGCACACGAAAGTTAAAGGTTAAATACATAAATTCACCCCTCAAGTATGTAATTTTAACTTTATGGCACTCTGAATTTTATGAATAGTGTATCGTGACTTGAACTTGTAAACTTTAATAACATTGCACACTTTTCCATATTAATAGCAATAGTTTTTAAGATTTTTTATTTTTATATGCAAAATATTGATTTGATGTGTAGTTAGCATAAATTTTAAAATAATAATTTTCACGTTTTTCAATTATATAATAAGTGTTTAATTGGTACCAATTTGAAAATTAAAGCGTTCAATAAAATAATAATATAAGTTAAAATATTTAATAAGTGTAATTTTATAGGTTCAAATATTTAATAGATAAAAATAAAAAATAAGAATATTATAAAATTAAAATAATAAAGTTTAGGGATAAATTTATATATTCAGTGGAAAGTACTTATTCATTTAACTCAGAAATTTCATTAACATAGACCTAGTAACACAGCCACTCCCAAATACATATTTTAATTAATACCTTTTCTGGTTTTTCAATTTAAAAAAATTGAAAAATAGTTATGCTCTCTCCTGCTTATTAAATAATTCACCTATAACTATATTAATACCTTTTTCCCAAATACATATTTTAATTAATACCTTTTCTGGTTTTTCAATTTAAAAAAATTGAAAAATAGTTATGCTCTCTCCTGCTTATTAAATAATTCACCTATAACTTATTAATTTTCAACTTACCTTCCAAAAGTTTGAAGAGCACAGCTGGACGAAAAATATTTTCTTAAAAAAAAAAAAAAAGAACAACCTTGAATAGTTCAACTGAAAAAACAAAATTGGGTCCACCACTATAGTCCCTTCCTTCCAACATCATGCGTATACTACAACCTACTAACATTAACACTGCTACGAATGTTAATAATAAAGTCAACAACTTTTGTACATCTATTATGGAAAAACGTACCTTTTCTCCTTTCCTTGAATGACTGGCCAAGATTTATTGTGCTGTGAAGGGATAACAAGTATATCTTCTACAAGTTTTTCTATCACAATACTGCTTCTCCTATTAACATTAAGTACTCTATATCTAAATGTCGGACATAAAGGTTTATTGTGCCATCACTACCATAAATGTTAGTAATAAAGTCAACAACTTTTGTAATCTATCTTATATTTATTAATAGCTGGATTACTATCTTCTTTGTCACTTTGTGCACTGTCTGGCTTAGAAGAAATAGCTTGGTGTTCAACTTAGAAAGGTTGGATTGTGAATCTGTGGCGGAAATAGTTAAACTAAGGAGCTTCGATATCCTCACTGACAGCGCTTTCGCAAGTATACGAAATCGCCACAAGTAATATATGATGAGTAGAATATGAGGATTGTATTCCAAATACCAAAATTATATTATTCTATTATTATTTAAACGGCAATTAAGGAAATTGTTTAAGAATTTAAATTCAATAAATGAAAATAAGAAATCCAGTAAGCAATTATTGATTAAAGAAAACAAAGATTAAAAACTACTAGGGATTTGATTTCACTTAATTCTATCCACTAGCTAGGGCATTTTTTGATTTTCACTTAATTCGTATCCAATTTATTTGTATTAGTTCATTAATCAATTTTAATTGGTTCAAGTAGAGCGGAAACAACTCCTAAAATCACTAACAAGCTCCTCCCGATAATTATTGTTAGCTATTTTTAATTCCGTTTAACTACCTATTTCCCAATAGCACAATCAAACATAAATTCAACATCATTTAAGTTTTTGTAGTTTTGTTTATAAATTCATAAATTAAAAGTTGTTCTAATTTCATTGGCATAAACCTCCCATGAGAATCAACACCCATCATAAAATTAAAGTTGTTAATTCATGAAAACCTCCCATGAATCAAACCATATAGCTTCAGTTGTCATTCTCATGTGATTCATTAACTTTTTCATATCAAAAATCCTTCTTCCGATAATGATTAATGAAATAGATCAATCCAGGGGAGAAAATTTATTTGGAAGCATTAAGTTCATTAATGAATCATAACATGAAAAAAGAAAAACAAATCTAATATTATAAATTGGAAAAGAAATTAAGCTACATCAAATCCCTAGTATAAGAATTTAGTTAGACATAGCACTTAAATAAAACTCAATAATACTTGATAAATATTCCATAATCAATCAAAATAATGAAAGAAATAAACAAGATTGAGAGTTTAGAAATAAGAACTAGTTAACAATTAACTCTGAATGGCTTCCTTGAATCATTGTACAACTCTTGATTACTTGAACTCTTAAAGAAATGAGACTATATACAAGACTAAGAGAATGAGATCTTCGATGAGATAGAATGGAATGGGATGGTATGAGGATGGATGGAATGGGAATGTCTTTACAATGAACTCTTCTTCCCTTTACATAGACTTCTTAGGAGGGAAATCTACATAGTTTAGGAAATAAAGTCCACCTTTGTTAGGAAATAAAGTTCTCAATTAAGCCTTAAATTTCTCTCAATCACGACTTTCCCATGTGCATAGATTAAAGCTTGATTTGCATGTGAAGAAAGTATCCAAGGTGAGCTCATGAAAATGGTGGGAATTGGTTGGCAATTTAGCTCAAGTATCCAAGGTGAGCTCATGAAAATGGTGGGAATTGGTTGGCAATTTTGACTCAAATCAGCTCTTGGTCTTTAGCACGGGCGTGCTAGGAAGCACGATCTGAGCATGCTAGATCTTGGCTTTGTGGAAGGACCAGCACGGGCCATGTCAAAGGCATGCTTGAGTGGGGTCTTGTGGCAGGGGCATGCTTCATAGTACGGGAAGGGCGTGCTAGGCTCTAGAAATCCAGGGTGTTTGTAGCACGGGCGTGCTGTCTAGCACGGTCCAGGCGTGCTAAAAGCTGAATATTTTGCTCCATTTTGTCCTTTTCTGTGCCAAATTGTCCCTTTTTGCTGCTGCCAGAAATTCTCCAGGGTGTTTGTAGCACGGGCGTGCTGTCTAGCACGGTCCAGGCGTGCTAAAAGCTGAATATTTTGCTCCATTTTGTCCTTTTCTGTGCCAAATCCTACAATTTTCTTGAGATCAAATGAGTTGTGTTTCAAGGAAGCTTTTGAATAAAAACATAACAAAATTAAATAAAATTTAATTTAAATAAATAAAAAATACTAAAAATCTTAATAAAAATTACATAAAAATTACTATAAAAATAACACTATCATATAATAAATTATAAAATTTGATTTCATAATGTTTAGAACAGTAAAATGAATATTTTTGTTCATATTAACTAAATATGAAACATGAAATTTCAAATGAATTTGAAAAAATTTTGTAGCATTTAATTATACCAAATGAGGTTTAAATGGATGTTAACAAGATGAATGAAATTGCAAGTGAAGAAGCAAGTTGGAGCCTACAGAACTGAAGCAAAATGGTTCAACAATGATTATGTGCCAACAGTTGAAGAATATATTTCTAATGCTGTGATTAGTTATACTTATCCCATGTTAATAACCGTATCATTTTGTGCGATGGGTGAAGTTGCTTCAAAGCAAGTATTTGATTGGCTATTCACTAAACCTAAACTTCTATATACTGCATCAAGTCTTGCAAGGCTCATAAATGACATTATGTCCCATGAGGTATGCCAAATTAGTAGTATCATAGCTATTTCACTTTAATGTTTCTTTTTATACTTTCACAAGTTGTCCATATCCGTATCTGTTTTTCCGATCCACGGTAAACCCAACTTTTACCCAACTAATCTTCATTCGCCTTTGAAGACAAAGGTGCTGACCTGAGGGAGTTGAATACTTCACTTTAAAGACACATGAGGTGAGAAAATTTTATTTGGACTTGTTCGTAATGACTAAAGACACATGAAGTGGATCTCATATTACATATATATAGTTATATGTGTAAGTCCTATTTTTATTGGCCGGTGTCGAATCCGCCAAAATTAATAATCTCACTACCAATTTAAAGAACTTGAAGAAAATGGTGAGTAAGGTCGAAATCCACAGAGACTAGAGATTAAAAATATTATTTTTAAAACCAGAAAATAAAAACGAATTATGAATGGGAGGATTGGAAAAATTATTGAATCTAGCAAAAATAGTAAAAAAAAAAAAAAGGGAAATTCAATTGGAGAAATATTTCCAGCAAAATAAGTAAAAAAACAAAAAAGGGAAATTCGATTGAGAGCAAATATTTCCAGCAAGGTCACATCTTTACTAGTTCTTCGTGTTGATCACGTGCATTTCAAAAATTGACTCATTAACATAATCAATAATTGGTTATGGTTACCACAAAATGCTTTAAACCATGACCTAGTCCTTCTCTCCGTAGTAACACAGATAAATAAGCTACAGACACACGCGCTTTTGATTAATTCCCCTTACCACACATACTAAATATTATGACACAGGCCCTACAATTAAAATATAATTGGTAGCAATTAAGAAATAAGAAAAAGCCCCAATTCAATCACTAATAAAACAACATGTTGTAGTCTCCTATTCAAGAACGATTTGTTTTATCCTTACATATACTTGAAAATCTGGCTCAAAACAAGCTATATTAATTGCTACCAAATTGTTAACTCAATCAAAACAATTCGGAAGTTTGATTGATCTAATTTTGAGAGCGTACCACAAAAAACAATTGGTCCACTTCCGCTAAATTAATCAAATAACCTCGCCATGAACACTTTGGTTTACCTGATGTGAAAATCCGAATATCTCCTTGTTTTAATTGAATAGGAACATACAAAAACTATCATGAAAACCATTAAATTGACAAGAGATAAACATAAAATACTTGACAGTAGTTAAAATGATAAAAAGAAATACAATATCAACAATCACTTCGGTATAGAAACCTGCACTTGATTAAACCTTAAGCCTGGAATTGAAAAATTCAGCCACGCCATTTCCAAGCTTACAAACTAAAGAAAAGAATTATTAACTAAAAACTCTGATATCCCAACTAATAGCCCATCTCTCCCTTTTATAGAAGAGAAGAGAAGACTGTTTCAAAGGAAACTGAAAAAATATATTTACAATCAAATCAAATCCATCAAAATAAAATCTCATGATCCTCTCTATTCTTCAAAACCTTTGAATAAATCTTCCAAAAAGAATCCAGCAGCTCCTCATCTTCTGACTTAGTGATTTTATCCCAAAAAGGCAAATAAATAGAATCAAACTAATACCTGCATCTATTTAATCACATAGACCAACAAACCCATCAAAGACCAAACAAACCCATCAAAAATACCAAATTAATATACAAAATAGTCACATTCAAAATAGGTTATTCAGCAACACTAAAAATAAACCCACTCAGAATCCGCCCACACATTAATAAGTTGCTATTGTCGACTCAAGGAAAAACTCATCCTACACAAAAGGAAAATTCACAGCCAACTCTTCACAGCTCTTATAATAACATCGTTGTTAGATAATACGCAACTCTTAATTACAAAAAAGTATACAGTTCTGAAGTTGAAATAATTGTCAAATTCTAGAAATCTATGGAGAAAAAAATTGAATTTACATTCACTTTCAAAAACCATAATACGAGACTAGAGCTTGACTTTGTAATTTTTAAACCACATGCACATTTAAATTCCATAATCAAATTAAGACCCATGCTTAAAGAATTATTTTAAATAGCTTGGTCACGCAGAAAACTATCTTGCAATCACACACAAAAACAAAATAATGCTGAACTTTTATTATATTATTTTTTTTTTTTTTTTGTTTTTTTTTTTTTTTGTGCTTGAACATTTAATCAATTGCCTGAGTGGTTCATCATTGGTACCCGATTGCGGCTGTCTTGGAGTCACAACGATAAAGTGGCTACATATAACACTACTCACATTTGCCGCAATAACTTCGACAGCGGAGTACATTGACTGCTCAAAGTGCTTAATTTAATTTACATTGCTGTTTTTTTTTTTTTTATTTTTTTTAGCATTCTTTAAGTAAACTTAAATCAAAAGTAAACACATAAATCACATACTCACTCTCTCCATACACCCAAGCTAATTATACAGAAATTTGGATAAAAAAACAATGTGTATTGGAGTATTAGGAATCAACCAATTCAGAAATTTTAACCATGATTCGTTCAAGCCTCAATATCTTAGTCAAGAAAGAATAACTAAATTCAATATTTATTTCTAAACGACAAAGATAATAGCTAACCAAATTAACTTTACTTAAGTAATTAAGAGGGCTTCTCTATTGAATTCAAAGGGCGTTTCTAAAGTTAAGATAAAATTCCCTAATCATCCAGATATTTCAGCTACCCAAAATCAATATCCAAAATAATCATCAGAATTTCAGCTACCCAAAATCAATATCAAATTCAAGCAAATATTAGAACAAATTACTCACATTTTAACAAGACCCAACAAAATCGCTGCTGATTATTACAATACCCAGCAAAATTTAACCAAAACAAATTAGCAATTGAACCCAAATTACAGCAAAATTAGAACCCTATTTCATATTAATGATTTTTCTAGCTCAAAATTTCCTCCCCCACACTTAACTTACATTGTCCCAATGTAATACCCAACACAAATCCAAGCAAATAAAAACAGAAATTGAAATTTATGTCCAAGAAAACTTACCTGAATTGCTGGACTTGTGATCTAAAACCAAAACAGGGGGACGCATCTATTGGGTACAAAACCTTCGAACACTGCGACTAGAAGAAGAGGGAATGGCTCCGAAGCTACTGATTGGGCTCTATTTTTGCTGGCGAAGAGGGAATGGCTCCGAAGCTACTGATTGGGCTCTATTTTTGCTGGCGTTGGGCGATCTGAACAGAGACTGAACAATCTCTGCTTCGCGTGGAGGAGAGAGTTTGGGAGTGTCGGCTGAATGAAATTCACTTCTCCTTTTCTTTTCTTTTGTTCTCACCTTACTCACGTGCTGTATATATGAGTCAAAAACAAAATAGGAGAACAAAATATAATAAGAAAAAGCCCACACTTGACGCTTATAAGGCCTATTAAAATCTCATATTCCATTAAACTGTCCCAAGGAAAAATCACGGCTTCTGCATCCAAAAATAATCAAATTGGATCAGTTTATTAAAGAAGATGACTAAAAATAAATAAATAAATAAAATAAAACAAAAAGAATTTTTTTTTTTATTCATTTGCTCTTTTATTTTCAAACTTCCTACTTTCAAACCTGAACTTTAGGAATTTCCAATGATATTTCCTCTGTTGCTACTCGAAATCCCTCATAGAATGGTTTCAATCTTCAATCGGTGCCCCATTAACTTAAAAATTTATTAGTCCCTCTAAACCCTGAATTTCCACTGCACCATGAGGAAAAATATTGATAACCACAAAAGGTCCAATCCATCTTGACCTAACTTTCTTGGAAACAATTTCAGTCTGAATGATAGAAATAAAACTTTCTGGCCAATTAAAAAAATTGCTTTCTTTGAAATATGAATTATCAATGGAAAGGCCTTAGTTTTCTCCTTGTAAATCCGAGAAACTTCCATAAGCATCATTTCCTAAATCTCTTCCAGCTCCTGTAATTGCAACTTCCTATGTTCTCCAACAGCATCCACGTCCATATTGCACTTCTTTACAGCCCAATAAGCTCGATGTTCTAATTCCACCGTAAAATGGCAATGGTTTTCCCAAAAAACATTCGGTAAGGAGAACAATTCCTAATAGTGTTTATAAGGCTGTGCGATATGCCCCAGACATCATCTAACGCAAACCTCCAAATTCCTTTTCGATTTGGACTCAGCTGTTTTCTCCAGAAATTGACTTAATTTTCCCTAATTCGATACTTCCGCTTGCCCGCTTGTCTGAGGATGGTAGGCAGTAGAAGTTCGATTTGAGTAAATACCCCATAATTTCTTGAAGAAATTCCCAGCTTCCATTGTCTTATTACAAAAATGTGTCCCTCGATCGATATGAAGAGATTAATAGGCAAAAATATTAGACTTCACAAAATCCACACAGTTTTTAAGCATTATCATTTCGACAAGCCTTTAGCTTCTTACTCATCTTAAGAACAAGCAATATGTAAGTTGAGCTGAGAAGAATGAGCTACCATACATCAAAAATTTCAAACAAAATCAAAATAGGATTAAGCGGCATTTGGCATCTCTTGTCCTAATTCCAGTTCATTTGACATTAGACAAGATTTTTGGGTAAGTGGTAATAACATTACCAGAACACATACGAGCTGTTCTCTTAGGTCAAAAATGACCACCACAGCAATAAGAATAACAAAATGGACTCAATCATTAGTGAACCCACCTTCAATTATTTGATCCGAAATAAAAGAATTTCTGATCAACAAATCTCAACAGTATTTTTGTATATATTATGGGAGCGGATAGACAGCCGGGATATATTACTACCACAAGAGAGAAAGGAAAATGATATCCACAAACAATGGACAAATATAGGAGTAGTGATTACGAGATATTATGAGTAAGTTGTTTCCTTCTCTTGAAAATTTGTACATCTTTATGTTTTTTGTAGGAGGGCAGCAAGTAGCTTGAGAATTTGCGCTTGTAAAGACAGTGATCACTAATATAAGAGCAAAGAATAAAAAAAATCAAAGAACAAGCCAATGCAATGGAAAATTTTTCAGGCCTCAAACGGAAATATGATCCGTAATTCCAAACACCTATAATCCGGGCCTTGGCGAGACCATCGCAAATTTGAGCTACGGAACAAAGCCGTCAAATTTCCAATTTCACAGAATAGGCAGCCAGCAACCTGATCATGGGTCTTCTAGTTCAGAGTATGTCTCTTGAAGACATTGGTTAAAATACTTGGCTACTAACACTATGCAAAATTTCAGCAAGAAAACAATGAACTACGCATCCAAAATTTGGAGAACCAAGTTAGCAATTAGCCAATTCATTGGGTAAGTTATGAGCTCAAGGTAAGTTACCTCTCAAACTATTTTGGAATCCGAAACAGAATGCAAATGCAATTACTTTGAGGATGGGCAAGGAGCTGGAATTCTAACAGAAAAAAATTGTGTACGTGACTTGGTACAGAGGAAGAAGTAGAGAAGGTCAAAGCAACCGATGGTGCCGGAGTTGGAGAATCTGAATTCTGAAGATTCAGGCCCTTTTCCTCAAAGATTTGCCAAGTCTAAGAGGGAAAAGAAAGAGAAAGAAATTCTTGGACATATTCCGGAAAGGGAAATCAATATTCCACTACTCGATGCCTATCAAGAAAATACCCAGCGTACGCAAAGTTTTCTTAAGAGTTGGTGCACTAAATAAAAAAGAAATTATTCTGGGTATATTGATGTGGGAGAAAATGTTTCTGCTGTGCTTCAAAGAAATTACCCCAAAAATGCCAAAGACAAAGGTATGTTTCCATACCTTGTTACAAAATTGGTAAAATTTCGGGATTGATAGGGGCTAATGTGTGATTTAGGAAGCATCAACATAAATGTAATGCCTTATTCTATTTATTTGCAACTAAATGTTGGCCCTTTAAAAGAAACTGGGATACTTATTGTTCTTGCCGATAGATCTATAGTTTACCCCAAGGGAGTGTTGGAAGATGTGTTAGTTCAGGTGAATAACTTAATATTTCCAGCGGATTTTTATGTTATTGATATGGAGGATGATAAATCTTCTAATTCCTGTAATTTACTACTTGGAAGACCCTTTCTTAGTACCGCTAGAACTAAGATAAATGTGTATGAGGGGACATTAACTATGGAATTTGATGGTGAGGTGATTAAATTTAATGTTTATGATAATGTTTATGATGCCATGAAATTTCCCAATGAATGTTTCTTCTGTTTGGGCATAGATGTTATTGAACCATTGACTGAAAAAGTGTCTTCATTTGAATGAAGAGATAAGCTAAGGTTGTGCTTTTGCTAATGACTTAAATTCAGAGAGCCTTAGGAAAGCTTGAAGAAAAAGTTTGGTGAATTGAAGAAGAAATTGCCATGAGTGGTGCTTGCGAATTAAAAGCACAAGACCCCTAAGGTAGCGATGGAGATCCTATAATTAATTTACCTATATGTTCACCATGTCTCTTTTGCTTCTGTTTTGCAGGCCACCAAAAAGAGCTTAAGCCGCTGCCCCAACAATTGAAGTATGTGTTTTTGGGTGAAGAAGAAACCCTTCCAGTGATTATTTCAAATAAACTCAAGAAGGAGGAGGAGGAGAAGTTAATTCAAGTCCTGATGAAGTATAAGAATGCTATAGGGTGGACTATTGCTGACATAAAAGGCATAAGTCCATCCATATGCATGCATAAAATTTTGCTTGAAGAAGATAGCAGGCCAAGGAGAGAAGCACAAAGGCGTCTTAACCCACCTATGATGGAGGTTGTCAAGAAAGAAATCGTAAGGCTTTTGGATTCTGGTGTGATTTATCCAATTTCGGATAGCAAGTGGGTAAGCCCCGTTCATGTTGTACCTAAGAAAACGGGCATTACTGTGGTAGAAAATCCCGATGGTGAGTTAGTAGTTTTTCCTACTGAGTTCAAAATGGATGGCGTGTTTGTGTAAGATTAACAGGAAACCTAAATGCAGCAACGAGGAAAGACCCAACTTTCGCGCCGCTGCCATTTATTGACCAGATGCTTGAAAGGTTAGCGGGTAGAACTCATTATTGTTGTGTAGATGGATATTCAGGATTTTATCAAATTCCAGTTGCACCTGAAGATCAAGAAAAGACAACATTCACATGTCCATTTGGAACTTTTGCTTACCGACGAATGCCGTTTGGGCTTTGCAATGCCCCAACAACGTTTCAACGGTGTATGGTAAGTATCTTTTCTGATTTTGTAGAGAACATTATAGAAGTTTTTATGGACGATTTTACTGTTTATGGAAATTCTTTTGATGAATGTTTAATAAATCTTGAGGTAATAAATCTTGAAAAAGTTTTTGGGAAGATGCATTAGAATCTAACTTGTTCTTAATTATGAAGTGTCAATTTATATGAGTTGACAAGGGCCTTATTTTGGGTCATATTGGGTTCTTCTAGGGGTACTAGAGGTAGATAAGGCAAAAAGTCGATGTTATAAATCTTTAACTCTTACCGAACGTAAGTGTACGGGAAGTTCCTTCTTTCTTGGACAATGACACGGCTTTTTATTCGGCGATTTATCAGGAACTTTCTCAATAATTGCTTCAACCTTTATGTTAACAACTTTGGCAAAACGGATGCTCGATTTTCAGTATTTGATGAAAGCCTGTAAGCCAAGCATTTTTGACCATTGAAAGAGAAGTTGATCACAGCCCCTATTATTCAAGCTCCAAACTGGAATTTTCCATTCGAGATAATGTGTGACGCTAGCAATCATGCTGTAGGGGCTGTTCTTGGGCAGAGAATTGGCAAGGAACCTCATGTTATTTATTTTGCCTCAAGAACACTTGATAGTGCTCAAAGCAACTACTCCACAACGGAAAAAGAACTGTTAGCTATTGTATTTGCTTTAGAAAAATTCCGTTCTTATTTGCTTTGCACTAAGGTTATTGTGTTTTCTAATCATGCAGCTCTGCGATATTTGTTGAAGAAGAAAGAAGCTAAACCTAGGCTAATAAGATGGATCTTGTTACTGCAAGAATTTGATGTAGAAATTAGAGATAAGAGGGGGTCTGAAAATTTGGTGGCAGACCATCTCAGTAAAATTCATGGTGGAGACCATCCTTAGCCGGGTTACTGTGACAGAGGAAATCTACGCTTTAAATGATGCGCATTTCAGAATGAGGTATCTTTTCTTTAAGGTAATAGTACTCCTTGGTTTTGCTGACATTGTACTTAGTTACTAGATCATTGCCTGATGATTTAACTAAGCATGAAAAAGATAAAATTAAAAGAGATGCCAAATACTATGCTTGGGATGACCCTTCTTTGTGGAAATATTGTTCAGATCAAATAATTAGAAGGTGTGTCACTAATGATGAGGTTGAGTCCATTCTTACATTTTGTCATTCTTATGCTTGTGGTGGTCATTTTGGACATAAGAGAACAGCTCGTAAGGTTCTTCAATGTGGATTTTATTGGCCAACATTATTCCATGATTCATATATTTTTTGTAAAGCTTGTGCTAATTGTCAAAGAATTGGAAATTTAGGACATAGAGATCAAATGCCCCTTAATCCTATTTTGATTTGTGAAATTTTTTATGTATGGGGTATAGACTTCATGGGTCCTTTTCCTGCTTCTTTTGGTTACACTTACATATTGCTTGCTGTTGATTATGTTTCTAAGTGGGTAGAAGCTAAGGCTTGTCGAAATGATAATGCTAAAACTGTTGTGGATTTTGTTGCCCAACTCCCTTAACTGTTCGCTCTGATCAGCCATGCTCCTTCTTCTGGTTTCAATAACTCACCTGAACTTTCAGAAAGTTCTAAGAACAACAGTCTCTTGCTGGGTGTAAGTAGTTGTAGGAACTTCAGAATCAATTTGTTTTGCTCTAGAGGTCACTGTAGCAAGCGTAGACAATTGTTTCTTTCTTGCTTGTGCTCTTTTCTCCAATCGTTCTAGCAGTTTTCTCGATTTCAAAATCTATTGGAGATCACCCTGTACTATCTGATCTGCGTCATAAAACCCTGTCAAGCAATAACATATATATAAATTAATTAACTTCTACTCCCGCAACGCCGCCAAAATGTTGCCGTTAGTCGAGATCGCCACAATTAATAATCTCACTACAATTTAAAGAACTTTGAAGAAAATGGTTGATTAAGGTCGAAATCCACAGAGGACTAGGAGATTAAAAATATTATTTTTAAAACCAAAAAATAAAAACGGCAATTATGAATGGGAGGATTTGGAAAAATTATTAATCTAGCGAAAAAATTAGTAAAAAAAAAATATATAATATATGAAATTCAATTGTATATAATATTCCAGCCAAGGCTCAATCTTGTACTATTTCTTTCGTATCACTGAATTCAAATTGACTTCATATACATAATCAATAAATTGGTTATGGTTACCAAAAAATCTATATATATCCTAGTCTTTCCGTAGTAACAGAATAAGCAAGACAACGCGCTTTGATTAATCCCTTACCAATAACTAATTTTGACATGCGCCTAAAATTAAAATATATTGGTAGCATTAAGAATAAGAAAGACCCAATTCAATCTAATAAACAACATGTGTAGTCTATTCAAGAAGATTGTTTATCCCCTTAATATAACTTGAAAATCTGGCTCTAAACAAGCTATATTAATTGCTACAAATTGTTAACTCAATCAAACAATTACGGATTTGATTATATTAACTAGCACCTGTCACTATAAATTAATCAAATAACTGGCCATTTACTTAATTAAATAGAACAACAATATCCATCTAAACCATTAATTGCAAGAGATAAACAAATATTGAAGAGTTAAATGAGTAAAAGAAGAACAATTCTCACAACACTTCGGTAGAACTAACACTTGATTAAACCTTAAGCTGGAATTGAAATATGATATAGTATATTTCAGCCACGTATGGCCATTCTCAAGTCTTACATATACTAAAGAAATATGATATATTATATCTATATTATATATCTTCTGATATCTCTCAATTCTAATAGCCCATCTCTCTCTCTATTAGAAGAGGAAAAGGAGAAAGACTTCATAATAAAACTTGGAAAAAATATATACAATTCAAATCAATCCAACAAATTTAAAATTCTCATGATCCTTCTCTTATTCTTCAAAACCTTTGAATAAATCTCCTAAATATAGAATCTCAATCCCATCCTCTGACTTTAGTGATTTTTATCCCAAAAGGCAAAAAATAAGTACTAATCATATATCTCTATCATTTTGTCAACTAATACCTGCATCTATTTAATCATATAGACCAACAAACCCATCAAAAATACCAAATTATATGACTAAAATAGTCACATTTTCATAGGTTATTCAGCACAAATAATAAACCCATCATTTATACAGATAGTATGGTGCTACAATTCCAGCAGACTTCAAACTCAAACTCATAAATCAATGCAGTACAAAGGCTCATTAAGGGCAACCTATATAGAGTAGAAAATAATTAGGGGGTGACAGTGATTTTTCACAAGTATACTAAATCGTAGCAAGTAATATAAAGTAAGTAGAGTATCGTCTTCTCAGGGATTGTATATCAAGTATCAAAATTGTGTTAACCTATTATTATTTAAACGGCAATAAAAGAGATCTGTTGTAAGAAAAGTAAATTAAAAATAAAACAGAAATAAATCAAGCAACAACATTCAGATGAAAAGAAATCAAGGATTTTAAAACTAATAGGGATTTTGATTTCACTTAACTCTATCCAATTTATTTTATTAGTTGTTTGTTAATCAATTCTTAACATCCTCATAATCAAGTAGGGGGAACAACCCTAAAATCACTCAATAGGTAACTTATTGAGTGAAAAGATAAATTTGCCAAACAATTTTAAATTCACACTATATATTACTTCTTAATCATTCGACGATAAGCTGTTGATATTACTTTTTAATCATTTAGTTCAATAAGATAATTATTCAAATTCAGCGTGTTCACAATATTTCAATCCAATTCCTTTTCGTTATTTCCAGTAATACAATTTTGTTTTCTTTGTTATGTCATTGTAGGTGAGGGCACGCGAAAGCTAAAGGCTAAATACATAAATTCATCCCTTAAATATGTAATTTTAACCTTATGACACTCTGAACTTTATAAATAGTCTATCGTGACTTAAATTTGCAAACTTTAATAACATTACACACTTTTCCATATTAATAATAGCAATAGTTTTTAAGATTTTTTATTTTTATATGCAAAATATTGATTCGATGTGTAGTTAACATAACTTTTGAAACAATAATTTTCACGTTTTTCAACTATATAATAAGTATTTAATTGATACCAATTTGGAAATTAAAGCGTCCAATAAAATAATTATGTAAGTTGAAATGTTTAATAAGTGTAATTTTATAAGTTTAAATGTTTAATAGATCAAAATAAAAAATAATAATTTTATAAGTTTAAATGTTTAATAGATCAAAATAAAAAATAAGAATACTATAAGACTAAAATAATAAAGTTTAGGGGTGAATTTATATATTTAGTGGATATTACTTATTCATTTAACTCAGAAATTTCATTAAATTAGACCTAGTAACACAGCCACACCCAAATACATATTTTAATTAATACCTTTTCTGGTTTTTCAATTTTAAAAAATTGAAAAATAGTTATGCTCTCTCCTGCTTATTAAATAATTCACCTATAACTGATTAATTTTCAACTTACCTCCCAAAAGTTTGAAGAGCAAAGTTGGACGAAAAACATTTTCTTAAAAAAAAAAGAACAACCTTGAATAGTTCAACTGAAAAAACAAAAATTGGGTCCACCACTATAGTCCCTTCCTTTCAACATCATGCGTATACTTGCGTATTACTACAAAAATCCAAAGATTTTGTCAATACATCCATTTGTATTACAACTTCAATGTCAGCACTGTGTATATATTATAATTATGAACTAAGAAGCAGCACTAATTTAGATACTACAGAACAAGTCATGGAGACAAATTATTTTACTATATCCGGTGATCTTTGTCCTTCCTTTCCTTTGTCCTTCCTTTCCTCTTTCTTGCCTTAAGAACAACAACAAAACAGAAAAGAAAGGCACCGCCAAGCCCATTTTCTCTTCCAATTATAGGCCATCTGCACCTCATCAAACTTCCCATGCATCAAACACTTCATAATCTTTCCCAAAAATATGGCCCAATCATCTCTCTCCGATTTGGTTCCCAGAAAGTAATGGTTATATCATCACCATCAGCTGTTGAAGAATGCCTCGCTAAAAACGACATCGTTTTTGCAAATCGTCCCCCGTTTACTCTATCCAAGTACGTAGGTTACGACAACTCTACTCTCTCAACATCCTTTTATGGAGACCATTGGCGCAACCTTCGCCGCATAGGCAGCATAGGCATGCTTGAAGTTTTCTCCTCGAATCGCCTGAATGCGTTCTCGGGCTCGACGAGAAAGAAATCAAGTTTTTCCTAAAGAAACTGGTATATATCTCAAGTAATGCGTTTGCTAAGGTAGAGTTGAAACCACTGTTGCATGAGCTAACTTTAATATGATTATTACGAATGATAGCCGGAAAACGGGTCATTATAGTGAGGCATACGATTCAGAAAGGAGAAAGAAGAGGCAAAGCCAATAATTTAAAGAAACGATAGAAGAGACTTTTGAATATGCAGGAGCCTCATATTTGGGAGATTTCTTGCCTATTTTGCAGTGGATTGATTATGGGGGATTTTTGAAAAGAGCGGAACGACTTGGTAAAAGAACTGATAGTCTATGGCAAAGTTTTATCGATGAACATAGAAAGAAAGAAATAAAGAACACCATGATTAGCCATCTGCTTTCTTTGCAAGAATCAGAACCAGAATATTATACAGATGAAGTTATTAAGGGTCTTATTCTGGTGAGTGATTTTAACTAATATTTCTATATTTTTTTTTTCTGCATCCATGTTTTCTTGCTTTAAGTTTTATGTGAAGCCATTCTCATTAGTTTTTGCATTGAAGACTTGTTCCATTCGCATTTCTCATTAGTTTTTGCATTGAAGACTTGTTCCATTCGCATGCATAGTGTTTTTATTAGTAGAATTTTAATTGCTTAGACTATGTCCATGGGTGCATTCATTGAGCAAATCAATGAAAAATAAGTTGAGGGCTTCATTATAAAACATGGAATTTACTTATATAAAACCGAGTCAATGAACTGAACTATGAACCGAACCAATGAAAATAGAATTTTTATTGAAATGATAGAATGTCTGACCACACATTGCAAAAGATTGATAAAGAGGAACAATTTTTAAAAACTTTCTATTTTAATTGGTTTTGGTTTAGGCAGTATTTTCCATGAAATATATTTTTTTTTATCAGCAAAATTATTAATTTTATTATTAATAACTAGGAAAAACTTAACAAATCTAAGCAATCTAACCCAAGCCATCAAATTTACCCTATACACCCAAGTCTTAACTTGAAAATGTTATGTGAAAAAATCTAGTATAATTTCATGATATATGAATCTCATTTTAAAAAGACCTGTTATCACTTTTTCGCCGAGCTGTTGAAAATTTAAAAATAGATAAAAATAGAACATAATCATAATTAAAACGAAAGAGAACCTATAACCAAGTTATAAAAGGATTTAATGCCTATAACCAAGCAATCTGCAAAAGAGTTTCTAGCTAACATGAACCATAGAAGAAATTAGAGAATCTAGCTTATCAAAGTGTTCTCACCACCTCCAAGGGCGTTTTTCTTTGTTTAGCACCCAAGATAAGGGAGTCTTTGAATCTGATTCGATCACCAAAGGTAAGAGTTTAAAAACATAATTTATCTATAAAAGATTATCTTTTAACATTTATCTAAACACTGCTAAAACATGTAACAGTATCACCACAACTAGTAGCTATTAAAATAAATAATATTAAAAACATAATTTAATTTTTATAATGTAAAATATATTTCTTAGAATGTAGATAAAAAATATATAGAAAAACAAAACAATTATAGCATAATTGAAATCCTAAATAATAAAGAATTAACTAAACCAGCATATACATAAAAAAGGAGCACGCCAATGTCTGTACTCACATATATAATAAAAATGATTGATGCAAGTTGTTGAAATTTATTAGTAAAATATCCTAATTATAATAAGTTAAGCACAATAAACAAATATAATGTTGAGTCACACTCACATTACTCATACATAATTTGATCAAAGTTTGAATTATATATATATTCTTAATTATATATATATATATATATATATTATATATATATAATATATATAATATATATATATATATATTAGCCACCCCATTGGCGGGCTTGTGTTAGTTTCAATTACTACAGTCGAAACAATGACGAAACAATGACGTACATGCTAACTATCAACCCCAATTACTGGGAATTAAATATTGCTAATTCAAAACAATAATTTATGTACTTTGGTGTTTAATATTTTGGTCATATACACTTAAGTTATGGGTTGAATTCAACACTCAAAAATCACTATACATATAATCAAATTCGAGTTGTAATTGATTTGATCAAATCAAAACTGGTTTACAGTTCAATCAACCAGTTGAATCGACCGATTTAATTTGAGTTGAAAAACTATTCTCATATTACATGGGGGAAAAAAAAATACTGGGATAAAGTGAAGGGATAGTTTGGTCACAAAAATTAGTTGTTTAATTTTGTGTAATTCATTTGGAAATTCTACATATTTAATTATTAGCTTTTAATTTAGTTATATTCAATTTTACAAAATTTTTTAGAATAGAACTTGAAATTTTCATTTTTTTTAAAATATAAAAATATAAATTTTCAAATAAATTCCAATACGACTTTAACATGAAGTGTACAAAATTTAACGAAATTCATTTATTACAAACAAACAATAGAGTGTTTTTAAGTAAATGTGACCTTACTATGGGGTTTAAATTCAAAATTCTCACTTCTAAAGATAACTCGAGTACCACTTAGTTAAAACTCATTGTTTAATATGTATGTTATATTTAAAGAATATGCACATTTATTTATATCACACATTTTTTTATAGTTTATTTTGAAAATCAATGATATCTTAACTTGTTAATATATACCCCAAGTACATAATTTTCTTTCTTCTTTCTATAATTAATATCGTCAAATGTTTATGCATTACAATTTATGAGATTTAATTATCATTCGTTACATTTATATAATAATTGATAAGAAATAAATAAATTTTTAATTTAGTATAATTTTGTAATTGGCTCTACTATACCATGGATAATTATATTTTTTTTATGATTTATGAAGATGTCTATTGGATTGAAATAATATTATGAACTACATATAAAAGGATTAACCCCTCCGTTAGCTTATCAAATCGGTGAAAATTTTCTAACAAATTGGTGAAAATTTTTATAAACAAAATGACTCGAACCTAAGACTTCTCACATTTATAAAAATACTAATTAGACCACACTTAATTAGTTGGTAACTATATTTATATCACAAGTTATTACAATTTCTATTGTAGGATATTGTATTTGGTGGGACTGAAGCAACAGCCATTACAATAGAATGGGCAATGTCAAATTTACTTAATCACCCTGAAATTCTGGAGAAGGCAAAGAAAGAGTTGGACACAAAGATCGATGATAAAGAAAGCTTGATGGATGAAACTGTTGTTTCTAAATCACCATATCTTCAAAGTATTATAACAGAAACCCTAAGATTGCATCCACCAGGTCCACTCCTTATTCCACATTTATCATCTCAAGAGTGTAATGTTGGAGGGTACCCTTAAGATGCATCCACCAGTCCACCCTTATTCCAAACAATTTATCATCTCAAGAGTGTTAATGTTGGAGGGTACAGTGTTGAACCCAATACAATGCTGCTTGAATTAATGCTTTGGCTGTACATAAGGACCCTAAGTTATTGGGATGGACGCAGTTATGGGATGACGCAGCTAAATTTAAGCCTGAGAGATTTGAGAGTGGAACTAATCAAGGTATTGAAGCCAACAAGCTGTTGCCTTTTGGGTTAGGAAGGAGGTCATGTCCTGGGATTGGTTTAGCCAACCGGGTTCTAGGGTTTGGTTTAGGGTCTTTGATTCAGTGCTTTGAATGGAGAAGGGTAAGTGATCTGGAAATTGATATGTCTGAAGGGATTGGAAACACCATGCCCAAAGCTCAGCCATTAGTGGCCATGTGCAAGGCACGTGATAACATGACGAAAGCCCTATCTTCTTCTCCATGAAGCTTGACTTACTTCTTGGAATGTTGTGATATAAAGCAAGTTCTTGTGTGTTAATTTGTAATAAAGACTTTTATATTATGAATGTTAAGATGTATGAATTCGGTTCTCGCATTCTTCCTTTTCAGTTCTTATTCTCTGTCTTTCTATTTTTCTCTTATTTATTCTCACCCTCTTTATAATGTTAATTAAAAAAATATATATATTTGGCTCTCTTTGCATGGTTTGATTAAATTCGAAGGTTCGCTGGATTACTATCTTCTTTGTCACTTTGTTCACTGTCTGGCTTAGAAGAATAGCATGGTGTTCAACTTAGAAAGGTTGGATTGTGAATCTGTGGCGGAAATAATTAAACTGAGGAGCTTCGATATCCTTACAACTAATCACCCTTATTTACCATATTCTATTAGCGATTGGTTTTCACAACCAATGTTAGTTAGCACTTATGTTCATAATAGTTCGAACTCTCTCTCTTTTCCAAGATCTTTAGTATGTTGGGTCTTTTCCAAGATCTTTAGTATGTTGGGAAAATCCAATAGATGGGATATTAAAGTTTAATTTTCGAAATAGTCGCTTTATAATCAATAATATCAAAGCTATACTTTAAAAAAAAAATTAATTATTGATTTACTTATTAACTTTCCAATCTATAAGAGTAAAAGTTCCTTTCTTTATTAAAAGCCCGTCTTCTTTGGGTCTGATTCTTTTCTCTTTTTCTCTTTTATTTTTTTGAGCGTAAAGTTTTTCTTTTTTATTCATTAGCAAGATCGATAGCTTAAAAATAACATTGTCTACTAACAGGGGATATAGTCTTCCCCTTGAACTAAGAAGTAAAAATAGTTTATGGATAAATTTCAAATTAACAAATTTAATAGGGCTAAAATTGCTAATATAAAATTGCTAATAACTATATATATAAGAAAAACAATTGTGAATCCACTACTTTGTCTGGCCACTGGCTCCATTCTTTATTTCTAGTGGGTTTTACTTTCAAGGGGAAAAAATATTTTCACGGATGGGCCTGCTAAGAAAGGTGTAGATGCATTAATCGCTTTTTTTTGGCATGTTTTTTGCATGGACTCGAGAAATATGCATCTACCTTTATTGAAAGTTTGAAGGTACAATTGTGTTTTGCATATCTTTGCTTTGTTCTATAAGACATCAGTTTTCTATTTATGCGAATCTCATTACAGATTCCAGCCTATCTGGGAGGAGGCTAGATAGTTTATTTTCAAAGTATACAGCTACAATTTCCTCAACATCTATTTCTTGAAATCTTCTTTAAGTTCAAAAAAATCTGCTACCAGAACCATCTTGAAAGAAAAGAGCAAGTTCAATTAGCCTCTTACCTGTACTATCGATTAAATGCTTTGAAGTAGTCCCAATATCAGTTCTTTTCAGGAGTTCAAGAGCCCATTCACTTTGAGAACCTAAAGCTTCCATCAAGATGATCCATTGCATTCCATTTCTGATTTCATGTACGAAATTCGCTACAAGTAATATATGATGAGTAGGTTATCGTATCCAACAGGGATTGTTAATCAAGACCAAGTCTCTCTCACTCTCTCTCTATTTATTTAAACGATAATTAAGAAGATTGTGTGTGATATAAATGTAAAATAAACAAGAGTCAAGTAAACAAAAAATTGGATTAAAAGAAAATACAGGAGTAAAGCTACAGGTGGTTTTTCGATTACTTATCAGGCGTAGCTCTTTTTATTTCAGATTTTATTCATTCACGTTTCATAGCTATGATCTCAATTTCCTCAAATTGTTATTTCTCATATGTTACAGTGGCGTAAAACAGCCCTCTAAACATGATTCAACTAACAAAGCATTACTCCCGATTTTGTATTTGATTAATAGCTATTTTATTTTAAACTCACCAGGTAGGTCGTAATTAGCCTAAATACATTCACAATAGCCGCAAAATCCAACATAGAATTAAATCAAAATATTAAAAGTTCCTTATGGTTTGTTTGGTGAATTTCATAACCTAAGGTCATTAACTTATTGAAAACCCCTACCACATGACGTCAAACCGTTATAGCTTCCGCATCAAGTTATGTATTCTCATGTGTTTATATTAACCTTTTCATTATCAAAGAATCTTCTTTTCCGATAGTGATAATTTGAAATAAAATCAATCTTAGGGGAAAAATTCTGCCTTTAGACTAGCTATTAAGTTCATTATAAATCATAACTTGAATAAAGAAAAATAAATCTAATTACATAATTGGAAAGAGATTAAGCTACATCAAACCCCCTAGTTATAAGGAGTTTAGTTATACACATTAAGTACTTAGAATAAAACTCAACAATACTTGATAAATATTCCATAATTCAATAAGATAATGAAAGAAATGAAAGAAATAAACAAGATTAAGAGTTTAGAAATAAGAACTAGTGATAAATTGCTTGGATGGCTTCCTTGAAACCTTGCACAACTCTTGAATACTTACCTTCTAAAAGAATAAAGCTATATACAAAGCTATAAGAGAAAGAAGGAGTGAAGTGTAGTGTAATGTGTGTGATGCCTTTGGAATGGCTTCTCCCCCTTTTTATATAGACTTCTTGGGGGAACAATCCACATGCTTTAATGAGTAAAGTCCAACTTTGTGTGGTGGAAAAGTTCTAAATCAAGCCATAAATTACTCTCAATTATAATTATTGGTGTCTCAAATGCACATGGTTTGAAACTTTTGACTGGCATGTGAAGGAAAGCATCCAAGGCATCTTTGTTGGAGTCGGGTCTCTCGGGACTGGGCGGAGGGTGTTACAAGGCATCTTGTGAAAATGGTAGAAATTAGTTGGCAACTTTTGACTCAAAATATAGAATTCTTGGTCTGCACGGGCGTGTTGCTTGTGCCAGTCTTGGGGGGATTAGAGGCTTTTGCACGGGCCGTGTTCCGCAGCATGGCCTGGCAAGCTAGCGCGCACGGGCATGCTGTCTGACCGTGCAGTTTCCTGGAAGTCTGGTGCAGGCGCGCACGGGTGTGTCGAGTTGCACGGCCTGGGGCGTGCACCTCTCTGGAAGTCAAGTGCAGGCGCGCACGAGTTGCGCTTCTCGCTCTCGCGCAGTGTAGGTTCGCGCTCGCGAATGTGAGGGTAGCACGGGCGTGTTCCTCGGCACGGCTTGAGGTGTGCATCTCTCTGTCTCTTGGTTTGTCTTGCTCTGCCTCTCGTTTGCACTTCTCGCGCTCGCGCAGTGTAGGTTCGCGCTCGCGAATGTGAAGCACGGGCGTTAGTTCCTCGGCACGCGCTTTGAGGCGTGCATCTCTCTGTTCTCTTGGTTTTGTCTTGCCTTTGTGCCAGACACGGCCGCTGCTTCGCGAACACGGGCTTGGGCGTTGCCATTTGTTACTTGCTTTATTTTTTGTTCTTTCTTTGCAAAATCCTACAATTTTCTTTCCAAATCAAGTGAGTTTGTGATTAAAGGAAGCTTTGAATAAAAACATATCAATATTTACGTTAAAAACTAATTTAAATAAATTTAAAAGTAATAGAAATTTTCAATAAAAATTGGCCAAATAAAATACTATAAAAATCAATACTATTTTCAAAATTCCCCAAACTTAAAATTATGGCTTTGTCCCCAAGCAACAAAAATTCTCCTGAAAAATAGCATTGGAATTAATTAAATTGCGAATTTAATCACTTAACTGAATTTAATCATAAGAATAAATTATAAATTTAAAATCCCCTTTGTAAGTTATTTTTAGCCAAAATTTAATGAACATAATCCTTTTATTAAACATTGAGTAAAGAAACATTTTGCCTCCTTCTTTTGAATAGTAAGTATTTAGGACAAATAAAGCTTACATGTAATATTTCTCATTCTCAAGTATTTTTAGGAACCTCATTCTATCTTTTTAATTGGTATGCATTTTTATGCTCCATACCAATTTATTTTTATTTGTTGGTCGGCATTTTTTATGCTCTATACCAACTTATACATAGGGATATAAGTAACAAGTTAGTTGCATTTTATGCTCTCATACTCACTTGGTTTTAAAATGGATTTTTTGTTTTTTTCTTTAAAAATTAAAACCTCATTCCCTTTTATTGATTTTAAAACATACATGCTTAAGATGGCTTTGGTATCCTTATATAATATAATACATATATAATTCAAGTTTTGGATTTCAAATGCTCTAACAAAATTGGTTAAGTTTCAGGAAGTATGTTAAAAATCAATTTTTGGTTTAAATAATTTTACTTTGGAAAATATTATTAATTTATTTTCAACGTTTGTACCTGGGAGGCATGATGATGAAGATTATGGAAGAAAATCAGAGATTAGTGCAAGAAAATGAGAGAAAACGAAAGGATTTGAGAGAAAAGGCTGTTGACGGCTAGGGCGTGTTGAGCTGAATGAAACAGCGCTAGGGTGTGTTGTTTAAAGATAAAGGCGCGCACGGCCGTGCAACATGACACGGTCTGGACCGTGCAACTCTCTGAGAGTGTAATTGCGAGCGGGCACGGGCGTGCAAAGTGACAGAGGTGAGAGACATAAAATAATAACCAAAAGGTGGAAATGGACAAGCAAATATATAGAAAAAATAGATCCAAAGAAGTAACTGGAAGTAAGGGAAATCCAAAATGTGCATAACAAACCAATGCGAAATGTGTGATAATGTAGAAAAATGATAGAAAATAAACAAAGGAGTAAAAAAGAAGTCAGGCTTCTGGTGGTGGAGGAGGAGGAGGCTGTAGCAACTGGATCACAGTTTGAAGCTGAGTGGCGAGGCCCTGGTAGTGGCTCTGCAAGGTGTCCAAGCGAGAGTCAATGCTGCCCTGTGTGATCTCAAGAGATTGGAAGCGATGATCAGTCATCAGGGACTCCATGCCGGTAAGTCGAGTATCAAACATGTCCATGCGAGAAAACATACGTGCAAATAGCTCATCATTTGACACCGTGGAAGTGCCCTGGAATGAAGGTCCAGATACGGGAAAATTTCTTTAATTGTGAATGGCCCGGACCATCTTGAGCGTAGTTTTCC